TATTGTCGACTTACTAAGTGATTGGTTGAATGAGGTTCAGATCTGTGTATGATTTTCTTTAAACCAGAAATCTACTAATTCACTAGTTCACTAAAATTAGTGTTGTATAAAACCAGAGACATCTGGAAGCCGGAAACAGCAGACTATAAACAACAACAACAAAGACACATGAGCTTAAAAAGCATTATATTTTCACAGAAGCTCATAAGAGCAAAAGGGAAAAAGGAGCTTATTGGAAAAAAGAAAAGAAAAATAAGTCCATTTACAAAAAATATACAAGGCCAGATAATATCAAATGTAAAAAAAAAAAAAAATTGTGATGTTTATTTGTGATGTTTTCTTTCTTGTGAATTCGGTTAAAATAGTATACTGTTAGTGTAGTGTGAATTATTTCTGTAAAATATACCAAATTCCGTCAATTTCCCAAACCATTGACTAACTTGCACAATCAATCAACTCAATGTCTATCAAACACTAGCATTGACCACTGCTTATGAGTACTTTACAACTACATAAGCTTTACAACTACAGCTTTTTTATGCTAGTGCTAACTAAAGGGCTTTATTAGCCATGTTTCCATCCACTTGTCAATCGAATGATCTGATGTTCGGATAAAAAACCTCATGCGAATAAAGCTGGTGAAAGTGTGTTTCCATCAAACGGCTTTAAAGCGGATAAAAACCTGTGCGTAATGACGTCACATGCTGTTTTGCGATCAGATTGGTATATCGAATTGATTTGAGACATGTAAAGGTGTTTCCATTCATTTTCTCATCGAATTGCACAACATTCAAGCCAACATTTGCGAACAAAGTTTTACTAGGCAAAATGGATCGCACCATAATAACGTTTCCATCCGCGTTTATCGCATAAGCCGTATATCGATCAAGATAAAATCCGATGAGACCGATCGTATTTCATTTGAGTCGATATTCAATCGAATTTTACTGTTTCCATAAGGCATTTTTCATTCGATATCACTTAATGCGGATAAAAACGTGTGGATGGAAACATAGCTATTGATTCACATGTACTGCCCCATCTTATGAATCCCCACCCAACACATTACCTAATTTAGTCAAAGGGCTTTGTTGAGGATAAACAGTTTCGTTTGCACCCAAGAGCTGCCCAGGAATTCCCTAGCAATTTTCTCTTTGTTGTGTTAAAAGAGTAAACTGCTAAAAAAAGGGTGTATAAAGTACACACTTGGCATTAGCGAGTGTGCAGTTTCTCATTGTTCATGACGGAGGCGTTCAGTGTGTATCTCTGAGCCATTTAAAGTGCTGAAGAAGTCCCAAAAGACACAGAGCGGAATAAAGTCTGTCCCTCGAGAGAGTCTCTAAAGAGACCGCTGCTAATTGTCTGACAACTGCAGCATGTTGCTCCTATTAATTCCCCAACAGCAGTTTAGAAGCGTTTCACTCTTCTATAGCGCTGACTGCAGAAAGTTAAAGGACTCTGATAGAGGTCCAATTTGACCAAATATTATGCTGTTATGACTCAAAAGATGCAAAACAGCACATAGAGACTTAGTAGCCCATAGTCCACACTACTGCGTTTTCGTTTAAAGGAACACTCCGACTTTTTGGGACTTTAGCCTATTCACCTTATCCCCCAGAGTTAGATAAGTCCATACATACCTTTTTCATCTCCGTGCTTGCTATAAGTCTGTTTGACGCACCCACCGCTAGCCTAGCTTAGCACAAAGACTGGATGTAAATGGTTGCAGCTAGCATACTAATCCAAATAAGTGACAAAATAGCGCTAACATGTTCCTTTTTACATGTTGTGATTTGTATAGTCACAGAGTGTACAAAAAACAAAGTCACATGAGACACAGACATATTTTAACCGTATAAATACTGGGAACTATGTTCTCTGAAGGCGAAGCACTGCTACTTGGGCGGAGTGATAACCGCAGCACCTGAGACGTACCGTACCCAAACTCTGAACGAACTCTCTGCTCCTCACCACAGCGCGTCTCAGGTGCTGCGGTTATCACTCCGCCCAAGTAGCAGTGCTTCGCCTTCAGAGAACATAGTTCCCAGTATTTATACGGTTAAAATATGTCTGTGTCTCATGTGACTTTGTTTTTTGTACACTCTGTGACTATACAAATCACAACATGTAAAAAGGAACATGTTTGCGCTATTTTGTCACTTATTTGGATTAGTATGCTAGCTGCAACCATTTACATCCAGTCTTTGTGCTAAGCTAGGCTAGCGGTGGGTGCGTCAAACAGACTTATAGCACGCACGGAGATGAAAAAGGTATGTATGGACTTATCTAACTCTGGGGGATAAGGTGAATAGGCTAAAGTCCCAAAAAGTCGGAGTGTTCCTTTAAAAACGGAGACCTTTTGCTACGTTTGCACCTCCCGTCCACACTAAAACGGCAAAAATGGAGACCCAAAACGGAGAAGTTTAGAAACGCTGCCGATCCGTTTTTCGTTTTGAATCTCCGGAGGGCGTTTTAGTGTAGACGGGTCAAAACGGAGGACTTTAGAAACGATGACGTAGTAGAGGCTCACGCTCGGCTCTGTGATTGGGTGTCATCAGTCATGGCGTATATCTTTGCTAGCAGCTGTTGTACAAGTAAATTCTGCATTTTACAGCGCTATAACTGCCTACATGCGCCGGAGTCAAGCTATTATTCGAGCGATCTGAGACAATTCCCGTGTGCAGCGGCGGCGTTGACCGTACATGGAGCGTCGGTTTGGGGATAACCCAGAGCATGGTGGGATAATTTTATCAATGAAGTTGTGTTTACACCGGCACGCGCATGCCCAGTGTTGGTGAATGGTCACGTGATCCGCGATTTCAGTCGTTTTAATGTGGACGGAGATCAATTCTAATACGCAGCTAAAACGCTGGTGTGGACGGAGATCGTATTCGTTTTAATTATCCGTTTCTAAACTAAAACGCAGTAGTGTGGATGGGGCCTTAAAGAAAGTAAAACGTGCAAAAGTGATTTCGGCATGAATAATAAATACACCATGTTATTTATGATGTCATCTAACGTTTTTCTATGTTAGCTCGTGTATAAAACAATCTGTTCCACTCAAACACTTCACTTGTCTTAAAGTCATCCGTGTAACTGCTGTTTTCTATCCGTTTCTCAAGTACTTTCTCACTTCCAGACAATTAAACAGTCCTATTCTGATAAGGCCAAGTTGCACTAAATGAAAGTGTCACTTTTAGCCACCTCTGATGTGTGTTATCAGACAATAGGAGTAGGTGCTGAATGACCAATATGTCAAACTATAGAGTCAGTTGAGATAAAGAGCCGGTCTATTTATGTCAGGCAACAGCCATGCAATTACTAACTTATTGCAATCCTCTAACCATGCATTATTCCATGCATTAACAAAGAAAAAAACGTAAAGGCTCACAGTAATGTGAATTAGGACCATATAAATGTTTCAGATACATCAAATTATACCCCTAATTGTGAAAAAAAAAAAAAAAACATTTGAAAGATCAAAATGTAAAAAAAAAAACACTCAATACAACAAAAAGCAAATATGACTTTACCGACAAATATTAACAGCCAGTCAATAAACTTAAAATCAGACTAATAATTCAGCATACAGACTAAAATGACAAAAAGAGTGTTCTCAAGTAGAAAAAGGTTATGCATTGAGTAGATCTCCTTAATGAGGGGCACAGCTACTGATGCTTGTGTAATGAAATGAGATGTAATGAACTTGTGAAATGAAAATGTCCAGCTCAACGTGTACATTGGCACAGTACTACAAAGCACATGAATAACAAAAACGGACATATTTGAACAAATGATGCATTAAGCTTCAAAGAAAAAAAATTACTAAAATATATAGGAAAGGTTTATAATGTGAGATGACCTACTCTTTGCCGTCTATCAAGGTATGGTTCTTTTAAAAACAGTGTTTACATTATACATGTACTGTAGTGTAGGCGATGTTCGGTTGTAAAGACCAGGAAGTATGATGAATAAAGAGAACCTAACAAAGAGCCCTGCGTCGACAAATAAGTTACATGAAAAGCATTCGAGGCAAGAAACCTCTTAAACAACCTAAAACTAAAACTGAATCATTACAACAGCGGTACAGTGAGGGAGGAAAATACATTTTCAAGGCGATTTCAAGGCCGTAAAGTAAATAAATGGGACGTGCTTCATAAATATCTCACCAGAACAGCTGTTTGGATTAAACAAACAGATATTACTGGCTTCTATTCAAATGGCAATAACATATTTCTTCACTAATTTTCCGTTGCATCTCAAAACAGAGATGGAGGAACTAAATATGCTCTGAACATCTACTCTACACTAACAGTTCAGATAAACTGAACAGAAAAAGCAAACAATGTTTATACCGCTGGAATTTCGAACATGTTTATGAGACTCATGGACAAAAGACTTAATCACTGACTTACTGAAGATTACGGAAGACTCCGGTGAAATCACAAAATATAAAGCACACAAACGTGATGAACATATTCGGTTTTGATGAGAGAGAGAAAAAACTATACGAGTGCGGTTTAGAACCCGTAACCTCTGACACGCTTGGCAAAAGATCTACAGAACTCAAACATAAGATCTGCGGATCGATGCATTTATTTACGGGTTGAGCAGAGAGGCTGCACAGTTTGACCAGCGGGCGGCAAGAACTTGCAATGTAACTATTTATCAGACCGGCCCCGCAGCCTCGAAACACTACTGGACCACCGGTAAAAGTCCTGACTCACCCGATCGCCACTCCGCCCGTGCATGCCATAAAAAAAATATATATGAATCGATTTTTGGAATTCTGTGAATCGATTCTGAATCGGTAAAGATTGAATCGCGATTCAAATGTGAATCGATTTTTTTGCACACCCCTAAAAAAACCCCCGTAAAATTGCGGGATTATCCTCCCATAATATGCCAATGGAAACATTAAGAGCTTTCATGGTGACATATATGACCTAGAGGAGAATAAGGGCTCGTAAAAAATAAAATAAAAATAAATAAAAACAGACCTGTATTTCCTCATAGGCCTCGTCGACGCTGGTGACTTGGTGCTGTTCGTGTAAGGCGGGCTCATCACAGAAGAAGCACACCAAGCTCTTGTCACTCAAGCAGAAGAGCTTGACCTTTTCATGGTCCTTGCATGGGTACGAGTTCCTCTGGGCGTTGAGGATGGCGTCCAGAGGGAAAGCGGCGTACCTCTCCACGATGTTGGAGAGCTTGAGGCTCGGGGACAAAAGGGGATCCGTGAAGGTCCTCCTGCACTCCGGGCAGTCTCGTGTGCTGTGACGCTCCTGTCTGCTCCAGTGCTCAGTGATGCACTTACGACAGAAGTAGTGCTCGCAGCCGAAACTGACTGGGTCTTGATAAATGCTCAGACAAATGGAACACAAGAGCTCGTCCTTCAGACAGCAAGCCATTTGAATCTATGGAGGGGGCGGTCATGCACTGTGCAGGCTGCAGGACGCACTAACCCTGAGTTTATAAACCAGATGGGCTTCCTAAACGAGTCTTGAAAATGTTCCTCTACTGAATTAGATGAAATGTTCTAGAAAAAGAAAAAGCAGAAACAGAGAGAATTAGCAAGACATTTAAAAGATTCTGCAACAGGTACATTAGACTCTCGGATGACCAGGTGTAAATGCTTCAGACATGGACTTTGCCCTAAATTATCATGCATTGATGAGCGAATGCAGATAAATCTTCTACTGACTCAAACCAGACAAGAAAATGTTGATATTCCTTAATTAAAAGAGACTCGCCTGAAAATCTGATTATTTACTGGCCTCATTCTGCAGGATTCAATAGGACCTTATCAAGCCCATTAAAAATATAATTACATTTTCACTTAAGAATCGGAAACGATATTTCCAGGCTAATTAAAGACATTCATTTTTAAAAGTGTTCTTTCTTTCTTTTTTTTGCAGACTGTCACTCAGTCACCATTCACTTTACCAGGATACAAAGGAATCTTGAAAGGATGTCCAAACCTGCAGAAAAAAATTATTATAATAATAATAATAATAAAAGAACAAACTGAATAAAAGGAAAATGAAGCAATAAATGACTTGATTTAGTCCTGTATTTTTATTTATTTTCCTTTTCCTTTATTATTTTCTGTATTTATTTAACTTTATTTTACTACATATATTTTATTTAACTCTACTTTTATTCTTTTTATTTATTTTCCTATTATGACATTACATTAATTATTTTTGCAGGTTTGGGATTCCATAATCGTGTCAAGTCCATTTAAATAACAAATCAAGTTATTAAAAATATTGCATTTAAAATTTTTAACTATTCAGAATGACATTCCCACGCTACTGACTAATTAAAGACATTAAATTATAAAACAGGTTAATTTATACAAGATGTCACTCAGTCATCAAACACTTTTCAATAAGATCTTTTCTTAAGAATGTAATATATAAACAACTGAAATTATCAAAATAAATCCCCAAATGGTTATGACACACCTCGAATCATAAATGCTAATGTCACACAGATTGCCACCAGACTTCAACTGAAGATAATTGGGATGTTATCAAGTCCATTTAAATCAGCGGTATATAAATCAGAAAGCTCCTGTACTGTAACGTTACATCATGGCAATTTCACAAAAGTTATGAGCATCACTGTTTTGTTTCAAAAAGCAGCTTTTAAACAATTTCTTCTCCCTTTTTCCATTTTTTCTTCTTGTTGTTTATCAAAGCCGGCTGCTAAATAATTAGCCAGCTAGCAGGATGTGTAAACAGGTTTTCCATGTATTCAATCCTCTGAAAAAAACTGACATTATCAGTTCATTCACTTACCCCAAACGGTCCTGACGCGTTATACACTAGAAACAACCGACTGTCACATAATTAGAAGAACGGCTCGTTGTTTTAATTAGACATTTTCATCACGTCAGATCCTTCAAAGCTGAAGCGACCGACCGCACGCGCAGCTCTTCACAATCCCAAAGCTCTAAACTCGCTCCAGAGGCGCACAGCAACGGAACGAACCAACTCCACACAGGGGGGGAGACACAAATAGATGACAAGCTAATACATCTCTCTCTGGACTTTTATTCGTGCTGTAAGGAAAGTAAGAAAATTACATACTTTTAGTTTGTGTTTATCATCTGGGCTGGATTCGTGAACTATATAGGGCATTTTTACACGGATGAAGGGTGAATCCCTCCCGCTGCTGTGATGGTACAGCTCCGGCTTCCTCATCACAGGCATATGATAATATCAGGGTGATTGCTCGCACTCTGCTGGCGTGTTTTTGTAGGTCGACACAAAACACAAACGTGTTTTTATACAATGAGTTCAACATAGCATTCAGATATTTACATTAAAGAAAGTTTGAAGTCAATACAAAAATCCAGATTTCAAAGCAAATAATTTAGTTTATTGTTTTCATAATATGCAATTAAATTGTCATATATAAATTATCATAGACCAATTTGGCAAAAGTGCATTACGATTTTATCTCATGAAGCCTGTTCCAGGGTGATAATAATAATATTGTATAAAGAAAATAGAAGAAGACTGCGGCAATTAATGCAAAAGTAGGCCTATGTATACATCATGGAAGAATTTGTCTTGCTTTACTTATTCATTTCCCCATGGAAAATAAATTTTTAAATAGGCTACATTTATATTGAACATAGATATAGAAACAAATCTTTTAAGGCCCGTTCACACCAAAGACGATAACTAAAATTATAACAATAAAGATGTAGATCTAAAAATTATTCGAAATATAAAAGAATATCAGAGTTCACAAACTATCACAAAATAACGGCAAAGGGAAATAATCGTTGGAATCACTTTTAGAACGATTTTTCCAGCGGATGACCGATATAAACAATGACAGCCAATCAGAATCACTTCCGCTTTGAAGAGCTCGAGTATTTACATCCATAGTTCTGTCATCATTTACTCACCCTCAAGTTGTTTCAAACCTGTATGAGTTTCTTTCTTCTGCTGAACACAGTATGTGTAACCAGAACATGGGTAACCAGACATGGACCCCATATTTTTTCCAAACATTATTCAAAATCTAACTTTTTTATATTTTTTCTGACATTGTGTGTGTGTGTGTGTGTGTGTGTGTGTGTGTGTGTGTGTGTGTGTGTGTGTGTGTGCGTGCGTGCATTATTGTAGGCCATACAAAGGCCGCAGGTTAACAGAACAGTGTTGTGCAAAACGACAGGTCAACTGCCTGACTAAATTACTTTCCTTATTATTGTCAAAGCTCTTTCCAAAGAATGCCAATGTAATGGGCTATATGCACCCATAACTTCCGCGTTTGATGCAAGGATGCTCTTGCGTTTCCGGTTGGGGAGATTTAAAGCGGAGAAAAACCGAGGAAAACGGGATTATAGCAGAGTCTTCAAAATGTACTGTCCTCTCGTCTTTAAAACGAAACTTTAATACGTTTAGATGTAATTTTATATATAGTTATGTTTATTTAATATAATAAACAAAGAAGCATAAACAAAATGAGGGGTGTCTGTTTTTGTGACTAACGTTTCTTTAGTATAGCAATAGAGTATAAAAACCAATATAAATTCTCGGTATAGCATTGGACTCTACGATCGGCGGAAGTAATCCAGCATCCTTAGACCTTCACCGGAAATACCACCGTGCATAGAGCCCATTGTGTTTTCACCTTTACTCACGCACCCACATTTCCCGACACTGGCCTCACACATCTCACTTCAGAAGCTGACCTTTGCCCACCAACCCTCTCGCTGAGTTATTCTGGTGCTCGTGGTTTGACTTGTGCCAAGACACATTTAACAGCACTGACAACACTTACTGTATCACTAAAAGAAATAAGGATGCCTTCCTCACCTGTCCACGCTTTACAGGAAGAACGATCGAGAATTTATGAATCAGCAGTTTATGAGGTTGACCGACATCAATGCAAACCTTGTTTATCTCTCTAGTTTCAGAGTGAAAATCTGAGGTCCTGTGGTTTACATTCATTGCTTGCATCTCAGTTGCAGCGCAGTCAGTATCTTCAATGCAACACACTGTGTGTTCATTATGAAAGCGTGCAACAGAGTACTATCAGAGTTCATTCATAGCTTGCATTGCATTTGAGAAACGGCGTGCTGTTAATGGGTAGGTCGTCGGTTTGCTTCCCTGCCTCAAATTGATGTCAGGATTTCCTGTCACAGAGTACAGCGCAAACAAGCCATTTCCCACAAACAACTCTATCTCTGTTGTCTGCTTACTCATAATCATAATGCTGTGCTTTCACAACAGGGATGGATTAGAATGGAGAACACAGCATACTAAAATGACTCACCTTGAGCACCTATAGGATTTCTGCAAACTGTGTACTTTTAGAAAACAAACTTTCGCACCATTTCATTTTTTTTCCAACAGTGGCCATTCATATGCATCACAGGAAAATTCAGTCTTTTTTTTTTCTGAAAACATACACAATTTCATTTCCAATATCCCATTGCAATTTATCATTTATTCTGTGATGGAAAGATGCACTGAGGGATGTAATCTGTGTAAAAATGGATTTACACAAAATAAATTTCGATTTAGGCAAAATGTATCGGAAGTGACATACATTGCCTTATAGCGGTATCTAAACAGATTTTATCATGCATTACCTGGGAATTGAACCCATAAACTTGCCGTTGTCAGCAGAATGCTCTACTTCTTGGATTTTCATATTGCGAAACTAAAAGTTTGGGTCTGTGATGAGGCTAAAACAAGATGCACAAAAAAGACATTGAAAATAAAACAGAAATATTTATAATACATTTTTAAATATATATAATAAAAAGTAAATTAATAGCTTTAGCTACAGGCAAATACTGAAATCATTCATATAGATGACCATAATTTTAATTTAACTTTTTTCGAAAAATAAAATAAATGGGAAAAAAATATTTGATATATATAAAATAAAAAACTGTAAGTTAATTTAATAAGAACAAAATGCCTGTTTATTTTAATAAAAATCATGAGTGTTTACACCCCAATATTCAATGGTGTTACTGTGTCCAAAAGGGCCCTTGTACATTATAATACTTACATCATCTGTCCCAATTCTGAAAAAATCATGTGATTACTCAATGAGCTACAGATGAAAACCAGATTTCCTGAACCAGTCCCACAACAAACAGACTGCGGCTTACTGAAGACTTTGTTCCACGCTCAGAAAAGCAAGCAGCTCGCTCTACAGTGCAATATTGATGTGGGTGTACGGCATCCATCAAAACAGCATGATCAATATTAAATCAGCTCCTAAAGAGAAACTTCTCTGATTCCTTAAGTCTGTTAACAGCTAATAATATTGATCCCCGCTGGAGGCTGTCCTCCGGCCTCATTTTAAAGAGACTTTAATCTTAAACTGCTTTTTGCTGGTGGTCTACCAACAGATGTTCTGGCAAGGAGAACCAGTTAGGTCTTGACTACACTGTAGTTTCCACAGTTGCCAGTGAGGAAATATATAAATTAAAGCAATATACGCTGAATAAAAT